TGTACAGATTTCGAAGCTTATCTAAGAAATTCCCCTCGATTTTTTTCACCCCCCAGGTTAGGCTTTTTTCGTGGAAGAAAGGAAACCTCAAATTTTCGAATTCAAAAATGTGATGGAAAGAGGAAACAGAAAAATTCTCACTTTCGTAATACGTGAAATTGCATTTAAAATTTCCGGGAAAATGAGAATTAAAGAAGCCCTTGTAATTTCGAAAAGACTCAAGTCGCCTTAGGATGACCGAACAGATACAAATTCTATAGCGCCTCTAAGAATACATATCCAGAGACCTAAAAGTGCTCGAGAGAACCTAAAAAGTGTTTTCAGTGTATTTGTATAGGTAATAGCATGATTTGTAGTGATATTTGACATAAATACCACGAAGGATATTTCGAAATTGTTATACGTCATTTCACGAGTCGTTAGGTGAGTGAAATTTGAGACAATTTTGAAATATCACAGGGGGTATTTATGCCAAATATCACGTACAAATCATGTTATTATTTGTTTATACTACTACCCACAAAAGGTTTGTAATTTTCGCATTTAGTTATTTCAAATTAAGCTGAAATACCACTGCTCTAAGCCAATCAAATTGCAGAACTTTATGATGTAGTAGTATAAAGGAGGGAACCGTCGTTGGGTGCCCCTTACCACTTTTTACAAAAAATTTCCACCTGGACCGAAGCGTTCCATTTTTTTTCGATGGAAAGCCCTCGGAGTTTTGTCATAGAAAGAAACACGAATCCTTGAGCTAGTCAAGTATCATGTAGTTAGTTATACATGTATTATCAGCCTTTGGTCAACCTTCAATACATATATTTTTCATTTTACATTTGATTATAACATCAAACAATAGCAAAAAGACCATGCTTGCTTTGTTCAACTAAGTAAATTGAGTACTGAAGTCTGAGATTAACTGGGAATAATTCGGATTTTAGTCTATTCAAAACTCTTAAAATCTCGTTTGTGAGTATAATAGCTAGACCCGTGGGGTGAATTTGGTCCAATATGTACATGAAGTTAATTAGAAGAAGCAATCAGATCAAGACTTACGCCTAAAAAATAAGCTGCAGTCGTCCCAAATTTGAAAACTAATAATTTTTAACACGCTTTACTATAGCGGGAAATTAATGGCCATGAAATGGACAAGTCCGTTTCTAATTAAGTTTTTTTTGTTTACTCGTTAACATGCATGTTAGTATATTGAACAATTATTCCACGAGTACGCGTTGGATATGGGATGGTAGATGGCCAACGAGGCGCATAGCAGGTTTTTACAAGCGCGAGTGGAAAATTTTTTTATTAAAAATGCTTACAAAATATCGAGAATTCTTCTCGACTTTATTTGTAACCGATTTTCATGATCAGCTTGCTTTTAATTTTGAGCAGACGCCTACAGTTACCGTATTTGAAGAGCATGGTATAATGGCTCATATACCATGATGGCTAAGCCAGTCAGAACTCTAGAATTGCATTATCCAATGGTTCAGTTTTTAATAAACGCTAAATTAAAATATACCCTATCATATGATAGAGATTGCAAGCTAAAGATCACTCTATGGATGATTTTCCAATGTCACCGCCGTGTCTTCTCGTCTGCTTAATGATTAATAATCAGCATAAAACAGTTAAAGACAATTATTTGAAAAGAGCCATCCAAGAACAGTAGAAAATTTTCCAATATATGGACGCATAGCTTTGTTTGAATCGCTAATTCAAGCATATTAAATGGTCTTTCTTCAAGCTTGTTAAAATCATTATGGCCTTTCTTTAAGATTGTCAATCTAAATTCATAACTATAGACGGCCGGCACCTGCAGATCGAAAAAGAGTGTTTTGCAATCCATTAGCTCGTCAAATAATTCAGCCAGTACCTGGAAGAGAATATATCACAGTGGAATCGGATTTTTTTTTTTTTAAGAATTCCTTGATAGAAGCTCCATGAAGACCTCAAAGGATGTTATCAGACCCTCAAGTACACAATGAGAGTTTTAGATCTAAAGACGATAACGAATACGAGTACGAGATTTAACTTAAAGTTTTTTTACGCTTGTTTTCAAAAGAATACCCCCGGAAAGCTTCATTTCACTTTCTTCGCCAAAAAGTTAGTACGGCTATTTACATTGGAGTAGGTTAAGCCCTCGTCCGGTAGCAAAATGATAAAACCTCTTACATTTGATAACTTGTTCCCGCTACTACGACATTCTCGCTAACACTCGTAGTAAAATGACGACGGCTATCACGTTTTCCCGCCAAAATGACGCTGGTTCACCCGTGAGCAATACTCAGTATTGGGAAAATCTCGTACTCGTAGTCGTCCTCGTCTCAGAATCTAAAGCTCTCTAATATAAATAGAGAATTGGACCTTGAGATACTCCTCAAACATGGAGAATATAGATGGACATACCGCCCAGAGGGCAAGTAACATTGAAATGCGTTTAACAAAGGCTCAAGATGATGGAGTTCCTTATGATGAAGTACATTGCCCTGTGAAGGAGACATTCCTAAAATATTCCGGCCATGGGTGTTGAATTTTAGGGCAAGGACACCTTAACTGCCCCGCAGACGCAGACTGAACGTTGTCGTTATAGATTGCTTATAAGGCCTTGTGGAGTTCACTGAACGGATCGAAACGGACTAGCACAACTTCTCTAAGAACCATCATACAGCTCGATCCATAGGGAAAATGCACCTAGCAGAAGTTGAATCCCACTCGCCTGATATATGTTTTGGCAAGAGCCACAAATAAGCTCTCAATGATTTCAAAGGATAACTGGCAGACTAGCCACATGACAAAGGTGCCCCTGCAGTGAAAATCAATAAAGCCAGATTAACTTCTTGCTTGTCCTACTCACTGAGAACAAAAAACGGCTTTTGAAATCGTTGGATCAAGTCCAGCACAGAGGAGGGAAGATTCAGATGTTTGATTAAGGGCAAATAGAATAGCTGCAGTAACTTTTGTGAAGCGCATTTGTCAGGGAAGTCTCAGCCAGTAAAGAACGATGGTGAATCATCTTGGCAGCACAAATTTAGCTGAAAACCCATATGAGGCTGCTAAACCTAATTAGTTCGCTGTTCATTTTTTACCTCCACAAAAAAAAAACTAGGCGAAGAGAATCTAATTCATTCTCTGTTTAATAACTCCGATGAACTTGGCGTTTCGCCCGACCTCGTGCCCATATAAATGTCCTTTTATTACCAGGATACAAAAAGCTCTCCTGGGAACTAAAGTTTTGCCTTTCTCCTTTAAATTCTTAACATTCTTACATTAACATAGTTTTCTTGATGCCACCTGACATTTTTAGACATACATTTCTTGGAAGTCCGAGAAAACAGCGGATATTGCTTGACGTCACCAGTGGTTTCCCTGCGAAACGACGTCTACAATTTTTCACAAACTACATCTCTCATTCTAGCTGCTTCATGAAAACCATCCCTTATGCTTGCAACTTTCTCAATGCCTCCTTGTTCCTCTTTCCACCCTTTTCATCAACAGATTAATCAAGCTTTCATGAGATGACATCTCCCTGCATAACACAAATATTATGAAGAACCATGCATGCTAGGGTGATTATGCGGGCTTGATCCCGGCTGCTTTCAGTTTTCCGGAGTGGGAAACTTCTGTGACCATGCGTGCTCTACTTAAGTGATAGTTGAAGTAACGCTGCTGAGGTGTCAACACAGCAAGGTAAATAGCATCATTAACCACAAACGTAGGGGCAATGCAGGGTCTCCAACCACGAGAGGAGGGACAGTAATATCCCCCACAGCTTTACCAATTATTGGCATAAAACCTTCTTGTATTGAGTTCCAGAGGTCGGTTGAACGAAAAATTACAGCATCATGTGAGTTCCCAGGGAACCCACAGCTGCCCCAAACAAATTTATAATGGGAATCTAATAGGCCCATTAGTACTATGGAATAAAAGTTATGATATTCCTTGCATGCCTCAAGTCCACCAGGAGGGCATTTAATGGGAATATGACAGCCGTCATTGCTGCCCAGCAGCAAGGAAATTGCCAAAACTCGTCCATATCCAACAGTTTTGTTTCTTAAAGTCATCCTGAGTCTTAGGCATATGACTTGACACGGACTCGCTCCAAACTCGGATGGCCAAAAAGGACTTGGCAGACTTCATTAACGATGGAGCAGAATCTCGCCTCCGAATAATTATTATTCCAAGCATTCTACCACCATCCAGTGTTCCTGGTCAACCGACGACAAGAGCGAGACACAGGAGTAATGCTGTTTTGTTGCGATGAAATCAAGAAGAACAGAAGAAAACAAGCATTCAATACTTTCCTCCTCCGAGCAACTAGGTGGTTTTAATGCCATTTGCATGTTAAGTCGCCTTATTCTTATTTCACGGATGGCATTAGCGATGAGAAATTCTTACGAGTTGCTTCCCGAGCTATTTTCCGAAAACTCCTCCATGTTGAATCCTCTTGGGTCCATATCACTAACCGCTGCCTGTAATGGTTTTAATAAATGGTTTTATTTTGTTGTACGGCATTTTGGTTGGACTGCATTAGGTTCGACGTCTGAATCAACTGTCGAACTTAATTATTGGGGTTGACCCAAAAAGGTATTAGGTTCGGCACGTGTAAAGTTCGACGTTTGAACTGGGCCTCAGGAACTAGCGCAGAAACTCCTTACTGATGATGCGTCACTATCTAGGTCTGGATACCATCTGATTGGCCTTTGCAGCGAGAGATATTGTTTCAACCAACGAGAGGCACAACCCAGATGAGGGTGGCCCATATAAATGTCCTTTACCAGGATACGAAAACCTCTCCTGGGAACTAAAGTTTTGTCTTTCCCTTTTAAATTCCTAACATTTTTTACAGTAACATAGTTTTCTTGATGCCACTTGACATCTTTATAGACATACATTTTTTAGAAGTCCGAGAAAACAGCGGATATTGCTTGACGCCACCAGTGGTTTCCCTGCGAAAAGACGTCTATAATTTTTCACAAAGTGAATCTCTGATTCTATCTGCCTCATGAAAAGCATCCCTTATGCTTGGACAGTCTCTCATGTGCAGCAACTTTGTCAATGCCTCCCTGTTCCTCTTTCCACCGTTTTATCAACAGATTAATCAAGCTTTCATGAGATGACATCTCCCGGCTTAATACAGTCAAATATCATGAAGAGCTTCATTATGCATCTACTCATTACAGGCGATAGTTGAAGTAACATTGCTGAGGTGTCAGTACAGCATTGGTAAATGCCCTAATTAACCACGAACGAAGGGGGAATGCAGATTCTCCAACCACGAGGACAGTAATATCCCCCACAGCTTTACCAATTGTTGGCATAAAACCTGCTTGTATTGGGTTCCAGAGGTCGGTTGAACGAAAAATTACAGCATCATGTGAGTTCCCAGGGAAATTACAGCTGTCCCGAACAAATCTATAATAGGAATCTACCATGACGTCTGAATCAACCTTGGACTTAATTATTGGGGGTTGACCCAAATTCGTATTAGGTTCGGCACGTGTAAAGTTCTACGTTTGAACTAGACTTAAGGAACTAGCGCAGAAATTCCATACTGATGACGCGTCACTATCTAGGTCTGGATATCGTTCTGACATTGTTATGGAATCAGTATGGAATTTCTGCAGTCGTTCCTCGTGCAGACGTCATTATGCGGGGAAACCAGTGGTGGCGTCGCGAAATATCGACTGTTTTCTCAGGCTGATTTTTTAAATATGATTTTTGACAATCGACTATGATACATGTAGGTTCCATAAAATACAAAGCCAATGTATTGAACCATGCAATACAGAAACTCTACAGAACCAGTCAAAATATCCGGGATATAACGAAAACACAGATTCCTAACTCATAACTTTTTCAAGAACAAACGCACGACGCCGCATTCAAGTATAGGTCTTAAAGGCAACAATGATTTGCTGAACATGCTGAACTTCGGTATGTAAAGAATGAAATATTCATTTTATCTTCTTTTATTTTTTGTAAAGAGCCTGTTGTTTCTGAAACAATTTTCCTCTTATCATATGCTTTTGGCTTCGATGAATTAAGTATGAGTTGATTTCTGATGGACGTGACACTTTTGCCATTCAGTAAATCTGCTCATTTCACTCGTGTGTCTTTTCTGCTTAGCAAGATAGCTTAACAGGCCACAATAACAATACCCTGTCCAAATCCAGTCCTCTCTTATGCCCGGTCTCCTAAACGTTTTGATCACTGGATTGAAGATGCCGAAGAAAATATATGGGGTAGCTTCTAAAGAGTTTAATGGTGTTGTGTGCATGGGGGAGTAGTTGATTTTATCATCCACTGAGGAAATGACGTAAATGGTAACCATGAAAGATGTTTTTCAAGAGTAATCCGCTCTTGTTCAGAGCCACTGAATGTTATATAAATATATATGTTCGATTTTTTGGTGTTGGTTTAACTGTGCATCGCCAGTCGGTGTAGTGCTAGAGCCATCGAATATCATATATGGTAAGTTAAAATTTTATCCATAAAAAAAGCACCGTCAATTACCCTCAACATGCCTCTCGAATAAAGAGTTGAGAACGTGTTTCGATACGTCCAATTCATTTCCCTAAATATTATCATGCAGTAAAACAAAAAAAAAAAGAAAAAAAAATGAGAGAAAATCTAGGCAATCAAGCAGGTGATAAAAGCTTGCTGTTGTTTTTGTTTTCAGTGAAATGCATGGCGGTTTTGAAACACGAAATTTTTTTCTGCGCATTTGAATGCATTTTGGCCACTGAGATCTGTGAGAAAGAATAAAAGAAGTTCATGTCTTCAATTTATGCCGAGTTACAATTAAGGCACATGAATTAATGTATACTGCCGCCCCGTTGGGTTTTAGCGTGTATGTGTAAAATGAAGATTTATTCAACCTACTTGTGTTTTTAAGCGACCAGTCATGTTTTGCTCAAAATTGCAGTGTTGAGAATTCTAATAAACCGGGATTTGGTCCAAAGAAATACGCGATTATTCTTTGCATCAAATGTGCGCTGCATTCAAAAATTAACGTAAATGTCGAACCAAAACTCATCGTCAAACGACATTAGCATTTTCAATTCGTTTTGTGGATTCATAACGAGGCACAATGAAAAACCATCCAAACTGAGTATTTTTGTGCGATTAAACGGTTTTCACTCAACTAACAGGAAATATCATACAAATACCCGGCATTGTTTTTTCCCATTTATGAGGAAAGTAGCTAGTAGCTCTTACCCGGCCGCACAAAGACCATCTCAATTAGCCGCTCAGTTTTCGGAGCTCTCCGGTCATTATTTATTCAAAAGCAATTCGCGCTTTGAGTTACAGCGATTAATAATCTAGCAAGAAAGAAGACACCTAACTCCACGCAATATTCCTTTATTGCCTTTGGTACCGAGATCAACGCTGGCAGTGACACTGAGTTTGTTTTCTGTGTCAATTATTGGCCGTCTTGTCAGTTGCCTATATATTCCCTTCTGTTCGGACGTGGCTTTTGGCTCAAAATTAAATCTCTAGTGGACCAGTATCAACAAATCGGATGGCAGGCAAATTGTTGGCACTGAGCTGACTGAGATAGAAGCCGGCTCTGAACACATGAAGGTAATGATTGTTTTCATTTATATTTTTTTAGCGTTTGCGTGGAAAAGGAATAATCGGATATAACGGATTCCTGGGGCTAAAAAGCCACGAATTATCGGACACTAAATGCTAAATTTCAACGTTTTTTTATTTGTACATCCAGCAAAATACATTTCATCAAGATGACCATAAAATCTTTAAACCATAATTGTGTAAAAGTGCCAGAGTTCAACGTTCGAAACTGTTATTGGCAATTTTATGTATCATCTAAAGCAAAAACTCCTCTATACCCAATTAAATGTCGTTGTTTTACGATCAGGCTAGTTTGACAGCGTTTACTTTGAATAGGGTATTTAGTTATTCGTACTCGCAGATGAAATGAGTAGAATCCGGCGTGTTTAGTTTTATTAAATACTTGTAAAGCAATCTTATCAGTTTTTATCCCATGATTCTGGAGTCAAATGTTTGATGGCTACGTCGATTATTTGGGAGTTAGTGGAATTAAAGTTGGCGGAATTTTTGTGAGCAAACGATGTCGATCAAGCTAAAGACCGACAAAAGCCCTCATCGAAACAAACAAATATACAGGTTAGACATTCGATTGGTACATATTTTCTTTTCCGTTTCTAGCTGTCTTCGGGCAATCACACCGATTCTATCGACTGGATACGGGTTTTCCCGTTTAGGGAGAAAACTTAGCTATATATCAACATGGCACAAAAACAACAACTGAGATGCAATCCTCGACGTGTCACAAATTAATGCAAAAAGACTCAGTCAAGCAGTTACTGTTTAGTGCTCTTGCTGTTAAGCCGGTGACCTGAGTACGGTACATGATAGTAGGACTAGCTATAGCCCATCTGACAAGTCTAATAAGGTAGCGCTGAAAAGTAGTTAGTATCAGGTTATTCTTTCTCATGGCTACAGGACTGTTTTTTTTTTCAGTTTTCAGTAATTATAGTATTTCCCGTCACCATCAACTCTTTTTCTCTTAACGGGCCTTGAGGATGGCCATGTTTTAGCTAATTTCAAGGCAGTATTTACCTTGAAATCATCCGCTACCCTTTGCAGTCTTGCTCTGTGTTTAGATTTTGTTTTGTTTACTTTTTCTAACTGGAAACGGTTAGAAAATTGTTAACTTTAAACATCATTTCTCGGTCAAATCGTTTTGAGTCATAATATATTTTTGGGCACTGAAACAAATAAAAAGAAGCTAATTAAAGAAAAACCTCTTTTCATTAGTGTCGCCGAGAACAGTTCATCTTTGCGTCATGTAATTATCCCTGCATCAAAAAATTATATTATTGACTAGGAAAGGTAATAAAATAGATAAAGTACGTTCGTGCTATTGGCTAGAAATGGTGATGAAATACTTAAATCAGAACCATCTAACGAAGCCATTCGCTCGACTATCTTGCGGCAAGGTCTTCGGCACTTCAGTAAACTCATAACTAATTACATAATGAACAAAGAATTTCTTTATTAAAAATTATCCTTTAAACTTTTCTAAGATCGCACGATAAAATGAATTCCTTTTGTTTTGCAGGGATAACATGTAAGGCTGGTACCTATTAAGGTAAGCCAGAGTTTTTTATAACGTGGGAAGAAGCATAACAAAGTCCATTCTTAGGTTAATTATCGCTTATTTCTGAGGCTATTTTAAACAATTTCTTGTGCATTCTTGGCTGGGTTCTCCCTGATAATGAGGTGATAATTGTGTGATTGTTAAGTTCAGGCAGAACCCAGGCGGTGTGCGTCACGAGATTCGACCAATCAGAATGCGTTATTTATAGAGTGATTTTCGCGCTTGGAAAGAGCCGTTTTCAGAGGTGATATGATGACATTTTCGCTTTATACCAAGCTTGTGTAGGTAATTTCGGCTCTATACCGCCGTGGAAAGTTGTTGGGACATATTATCTTGATAGTAGTTACGTTGCTTTTCAATATTTTGCTTTCTTGAGCGTTTGAGACAAGTTTGAATTGCTCGGTAACAGCAAGCCGCCATGATTTGAGTGTTCTTTTCGCCGTTCTTCTTGGATTCACGTCTCCTGAGGGACACAGTTATTTTTACAATGGGACGATAATAATGTAATAATGGTAATGATGATGATGATGATGATGATGATGATGATGATGATGATGATGATGATGATAACGATGATTAGTGCATTGCCTTGAATATTTCCCCGCAGCAGGAGCCCATAACTCAATACTCAAGCTCGACCATCTCTATAAAGAGAAAATAGAGGGTTTGTGAGCACGCTATCATTCTCCAAAAGGAGCCCGTAAACAAGGTTCAGAACAGAATGAACAAACAGCTGAAACGTCTGTAAGGACTTCATTTTCGCATCAACTAGCTTTAAAGAAGCGTATAATTTTGAGTCAGTTTATATATTGTCAGATTGAATTCGACACGTCGCAATGCAATCAGAAGAAAACTGACACCAGTTTTGAAGGTCATTCAGAAAGACATCATTCGTATAGGTAATAGCATGATTAGTAATGATATTTGGCATAAATACCACGAGTGATATTTCGAAATTGTTTTACGTAACGGCAAGTGAAATTTGAGACAATTTTGAAATATCACGAGTGGTATTTATGCCAAATATCACGTACAAATCATGCTATTAAATTTTTTCATTTGTTTGTACTACTAACCGCAAAAGGTTTGTAATTTTCACATGTAGGTATTTCAAATTAAGCTGAAATACCATTGCTCTCAGCTAATCAAATTGCAGAAATTTCTCATGCAGTAGCATAAAGTAAAAAATAATAACGATACCGCGATAGAAGCAGAAATAATGGAAGAAAACTGATTGAGTTGTCAAGTAACATTGGATAGTTACTTTAAGTTAAAACACTAAGTATTCGAGAGAACGTAATTCTTAATTTCTTATAGTGGTCGAAGGCTTCACCCTGTATTAGAAACAAAAACATTTCAATATTCAACATTCAGAAGCAAAAATCTTGTCATTTTCCGGATAAATATATTAAATGATTTCGTTTCTTAACCAGAAAAAATTGAACGTTAATTTTTACATCTTTATAATAATTTGTAAATAAAAAATAAGTAAATGTAAAGGTTTTGGAAGTAACCTTTCATCCGAGAAACCGTAACGCGCCAACTTCTTTCTTGTTTCTTTTCTACCTCTCCTCTCAGTGTTGACAATCTTTCTCCGGGTTTTAATTTTACCATCTTTTAGCACCCTCTTGGGGTCATGATTTTCCAACCTGGAAAAGCACTGGGTACGAGTGGATAGCTTGCCTTTTTTTTTCCAATACTTAACAAAGACTGAGTTCTCTCATAAAAATCCACATTCTCCTGCCTGTACTTAGAAATGGGATTGCCTTTTAATGTGCGAATGAGGACACCTCTATCTTGTTGATCGGATTTTCTTGGTTTCTGATTCAAGCGTAAAGTGTTAAATTCCTTTTCTGAATCCCACACTGAGCTCCAGGCTAAACCTAATGTCAAGTTCGTCCGTGCACACATTTCTTTATTAGATATTTTTTCCGTTTGCCATTTTTACCGTCAGCTAAAAATTAACAAAGCCGAGTATGTGCTGATAAATTCCATTTTTTATTGCGTTCAGTTATTACTTAGAATATCTATCACTTAAAAGTAGTTAAAAGGTAGCTAACACTGAAAGCTGGCCGGCCATAGAGTACAATCATCCGCATGCGGTAAACATCAGCTCCAATAATCTGGATTCATTTTTGGTGAAAGGGTGTAGCGATTTAAATTCATGACTTATTCCTGATACGACTTACACATGTACGTGTCTTCCTTACACAACTTATACCTTGTCGTTTCTACTCTTTTAATGATTTAGTTGCTCTAAGGTTACAAAACCACTCGTGGTAAAGTTGCGAAATTTATAGTTTGTTAGTCAAGTCCTAAGCGCTAGACAGTCATTTCAGCTCACAATATGGTTGACTTCTCCTAAAATGTTCTTCAGTTAGTATGCAATTAAATGGATCTGAAGCCAATTGTGGAATTGTACACATTTTAAAATCCTACTGATGAATAGTTACGACCTTTAGATATGCAGATATAGCAAAAAACTATTTCCAGTCTGGCCTTCGAATTTACTCACCTGGAAGTCCATTGAATAAATTTTGAAATGTTTATTAAGCTTTAGTTTTTAATCGCCTTGTTTTACGAAAGGTAGCTGTAACTTCGCTACAAACTTGATGCATTTTTAAAACGGTATTACTAAAGGTTAACTGTGCCTTCAAGCAACTGGTTCTTCTTAATTGTCATGATAATTGAAACCCACGCTCTGTGTCAGTGTGCTAAAATTGTGAGTGAGTATATTCTGCGGGAAACAAAATTTTTTTAGATAAACCTAAGAAGTGATTTTATAGTTCTCGTTAGAAAATCTTTCTGACTTTTTCTCTTTTTTTATAACACATCCCTATTTGTATCCAAATGATTGCTACTTAAAAGTGGGTGCGACTATGTGGCGTAATGTTCCCCAGCATCAACATTACCTTTTGGGGGACCGGTTTTTTTGAATAATCTTAGGAAGATCCAAGTTAATGGTTCTTTTTCATTCGTTTAAAGAATAGCTAAGCTGTGCCGGTGTTACAATATCCGCAAAGTGATTTGTCGCTCATCCTTGGGGGATTACTACATGGAAATGAAAATTTCTTCAGTGAAGCTTAAGCCCAGTTTCTCACAAGCATAATACATTTGCAGTCGGAGTTGTTTTGAATAGCTCTGACTGTTAAGTTACATTCATTAGTGTTCTTTTATAACCTCTATATTATTGCCAATCAAAACAAGTCTCAGCGAAAATTATTTATAAAACCATTCTCAACAATACGCCTTGGCTATTCACTGACAATGACCCAAGCTTGCATTTTAATGCCTGCAGTATCAATTAATGTTTATTTATTTATTTATTTATTTTTGAAGTCTCCTATTTTGGACTGTGTTATCTACAAGTCCTAAACGAGCAGAAACGATTCTTTTTTCTTCTATTATTTGTCAAACGATTTATGTTTGACAATAACATTGCATGTTGCGTTTAACTAATAACACTTTGGGCAAAAAATAATTTGCTGCAACTTTCCAAATACTTTATAGTGTATATGCAGAATGTGAGCCAGTCTTAAGACGTAAATCTTGAAGTTTTTAAAACCTAGGTTGTTAGATATTGCTATCCATAGTTTAATTTTTCGCAGTCGTTTAAGTCTCTCAGGTATTTGGTTGGCTCGTGAGAGGCTAATACGCTACACTTTCGACCCAAGGTAGAGTACAGGGGCACCCAACGACCGAATGTTTCCAAATGCGCCAGAAATGTTTCAGATGGATTTCTCTATGCTTTAGAAGCCTGTTTGGTTCATTTGGAGTTGCCCAAAAACGTTTTATCTATTCGGATGTCAGGGGAACTTTGGTCGTCACGAAAGTTTTAGGTGGCTTTTTCGTCTCATGCGAAAGTGTTGGCTACCCTTACGGGTCTGGTCGAAAGTTTGGGGACATGAAGTAGCCTACAGCTTTCATTAGAAAATTATAGGGGACGTTTTGTCTTTTTATATACCGAACGTTTTAGAAGACCTTTTTTCACAATAATCGCAATACTTTGGTATTCAAATGTGAATAATACAACCTCCGAAAATCATAGTCAAGCTATTACAAAACCTCCGAATATTTTAGACATATGGAACGGTTATCCAGAAATTTTTAGCTTTTCCCAAGCTTTAGAAAGTGCTAGGCAATATATGCTCCTTCGAACAGTTATTTTACAGAAAAAAATTGCTGGGTGCCCCTGAAAACGGCTATGTTTGTTAACACCTGCTTTTCCCTGTAAGAAATAAAAGAGAGATTTTCAATTACCCGATAAGTTGTCTTAGTATAATTATAGTATCATCAACATTAATTTTACTCAAAGCGCGATCTAGCATTTTCTTACTCCCGCATGATCGCGTAATAAGGACGAAAGTGACTCAACGCTGTTTGGACCATTCTCATCACAAAGCGGTTATAGTTCTTAGTTTCATAGCAGGACAGCGACACAAATCATAACAGACAATTATTCTGTTTTGAGATGCACCTCAGTCAAAATAACCGCAAATCCTGAAGATCTTCAATTAGCAACTTTAATAAAGAAGTGAAGATTACAGGACATTATTAAGATTTTGTACATTATATAAATAGGCGAAGATTTGGCGCAAGGGGTACGAAAAAGGGTTACTATTACCCGATTATAATGTTCGTAAAGAATTCTTCTCAAATGTCTGGTTAAGTTTGACTTTTGATTGAGTCTGTGATCGAGGTTTGCGGGGCGACACTTTCCTTCGCTAGCTTTCAAGCGCCGCTGATTAACATTGTTTGTTGCAACCCACAATTCTGTATCAAACTACTGGAATGGAGTTCCCTAAATGTATCGCGGCGTTTAACCAGAATATCTATATTTCCGGTCGGAACAAAGTTACATTTGTTACATTCAAAGTTACATTTACCTTTCAAGAAATTCAATTTTCTGCTTCGAAGACAGCAGGTGGGAATAATTCCGTTGGAATTAGACAAGTTGTGAAAACAAAATGTTGCGGTTGTGGCTCCAAACGTTCCAGAGTATCATCAAAAGCGTTATACCGGCGGCTACAACTGAGACCTTTTCTTCAAAACGCTATTTTGCAGGGAATTATTTTACCTTTGAATGTTGTATTTGGTTTACCGCCTGCTTAGGTAATATCTAAGAAGCCACCTAACTTCTAAGAAAATTGCAAGCGTCGTTTCCTTGGCTTTGGTTTCGTATTGTGTTTTGATTTGGTTTTACATGGTGGATCGTCGGACATGCGTCAATAATCTTGTACAACATAAAAAAAACCGTAGCAAAGTTTTTAAAAGATTAGTTGATTCATAAACTGCAGCTGCAAGCGCCAAGTAGATAATTCAGCGAACTCAGAAGGTTGCATGTAAATTAAAGGTGAGAGGCAACTTTTCAATAGCGAGTCTTCGTCTAAAGGCAAGATATTGTGTTCTCTTCTACAATGCTTCTTGAACTAATATATAAGTTATCTTAAATTCGTTAACGGGTGTAATCGTATAAGCCATTAACAAGATGAAACACAAGTTTAAAACTATGAAGTACTTAACAACAAATCATGTTATTTTAATTCTTTATAGGGAACTAAATAACTTCCTCCATGGATGCAGTATTGGCGAGCGTTGCAGTGCTGTTTGTCGTCGGCGGACTGCCGGCCAAGGGAAATGAACCTGAAAATTCGACTACACCCAGAAGTAAAATCCCTGAGGGTTTCTATCTATCAGCAAGTGATATTCATGCAAAACATGTCACAATTTTAGAGATGAAAAACGTTAGCTTTACTGGAAGAGAACTAGGTGCTTCTGAAATATCACATTTATCTGTTGACGAGAAGTGTTCCAGGGGCCTGCCACTGTCTGCAGCATGGCAGTATTACGGCCCTTATGTGAGGCCAGGAATGCGCGATGGAAAAGTTGCCGTTGAAGGCATTTTTCCTCACATTATCAACAAAATGCTCCATGTCTGTTGTAACAGCTCAACGACAGTGAAATACGGGAAGATTTTTGACTCTATTCGCGGTCTAGAAGGACAGCTAAATCAACCAAAGATGGCTTACGACTTTAGCTTTCCAGTCACTGGAAAAAGCCTCAGAGATGAGTCGTTTAAGGACTTGCCTTATATACCAATTGTACAGGCCCCACGAGTAGCACTGCTTGTTCGTGACAAGACGGAAAACACCAAGACAGCGCAGCTGATGAACACGGTCTTCAAGGCCTGGCCGATTCTCATCTTTATTCTCGTCGCTGCTACTCTGTCTGGTATTATCATCTGGTTATTGGTAAGTGTCTAATTGCATTTAAAGGCTCTTCTACTTTTTGCTTTGGAATGCATCTTTACTTGCACAAATTTATGGAAAATCTTGAGCTAAAATGTAAAGGTAATTAAATGTTAATCGTTGAAGAAGTATGAAAAAAAAAAATTCTATTTTCTTTCCACAATGTCTTCTGTGGTCGACAGAAACCGATCTGGGAAATGGCAACGGAAAAAATCAACAACAAAAACAGAACAAAAACCGTACCAGACACCTTCTCAGGCTTCTCTTCTTAATATATGTAAAATCAAACTTTAGCTACACGGGTAATCGTCGATAATTCCAAATTAGCTAGTAAGTACAGTTCAACCTTACAATCGGTTCTTATGTTCAAACTGTACATATTTTCACAAGAAAAACGTAAACATCATTTGAAAAAAATATCTATCTTTTATTCTCTTCTATACCAAGGACAGCTTTTGATTTTATTTTTTCCACTGATCGATCATGAGTCAATATGAACGTACTCGATATGCAGCGCTAGTGAATGTCGTTATTTTCTGTTCAACCTTGTATTAAGGCGAGTTAAGGGTCGATGGTTTATTGTGCTTTACTCCAGTGGGACTCGCTTATCTAAGTGGGTACGGTGATCAAACCTCATCGATCTTCATAACTTCTGTGATGATACTGTTTTGACTGCTCAAAAGAAGATGTCAATTGAAAGGCTAGGTTTCAAACCTCAAACTTCTCGAATGAATAGCACTATTAACAATATATATATAGAGCCTCAAACTAAAAACTGAACTTCAATGTCAAATAGCTGGAAGTGATTTTGACGTAAAAGATGGGAAACGGAAAATTTTAGACCCTTCACGACAAAAGCCGGTTTTTTCCTTAGACTGAAGAAGAAGTTGTTATTACTGTCCTCAAAAACGGGTTTTAAGACAACAACAGTAAGACCAGAGGTTTACATTTTACCGCCGGCATTGACCCAGCTACTAGAAAAATCATTGTCAGTGGCTTTATCAGTGAGAATGACACAGTGACATATCATGTTTTGCAATTTCTCCGTCAAAGTTCAATTTGTTAGATTTTGATTTTTTTTTACCATGAACACGTTATGACCAAAGCCAACTTTTAGGATCATTATATTTTGTTTGTCGGATCAGAATGTACAACAGTTTTTTCTTCTTCTTTCTTTCTTTTCTTTTTTATTGTCCCCCCGACTCGTTGTTTTCTTTTTTGGCCGATTTAAAAATTAAAAGTGCCTAGATTATCTCATCTGCTTTATTATTTCTTGAGCGCCTGTTGAGTCGGTCGTCTGAAAGAGATTTACTTACATAAAATAAAACGATTTTTGGCAATTACCGGTAATATATATGAATTTTTCTGGGGAGATGCATGGTGATTCAGGTTTTTGGATTGACGGTCATTTGTAGTCAAAACTGACTAGTGAATAGGTCGCAAATAAAGTCACTTCTTTGAGCGATTAACTTTACCAATATTTCACAGCACGATTCGGGCAATCCAATCATTTAATCAGTTTTGATTGGTGGGATTTTAATGGAATTGGAACATTCTTAGCCATTAGGCGTAATTGCATTGTTACTAAGTGACTAGAATTTTTGCAAATTGAAACTCCTTCTCAAAGGATTTCATTCAAATTATATGTTATCAAGTGGCGTGAATTCGTTTTTAAAGTAAAGAGGAGCGATCACCAATCGTGATGAGCCCCGTTGATTTTTGTTATACAGGACCGTCTTAAAAACCCGGACGAGTTTCCGAGGCCCTTCATCAATGGAACATGGGAAGGCTTTTGGTGGGCGTTCGTTACTATGACAACAGTAGGGTGAGTGATTACTTCCCGATTACGAAAGACCATGCCTTTTCTTATATTCTCTTTGTAACTGAAATAAGGGCTTGAAAACTCGCATTGAATTGTCGTCAATTTCACTAGAATGTTAGTAAGTTGCAATTAACAGGGAACTTAAGAACCACGACGAAGTTCACGACGACGACGTCTGTTGACTGGGAAAAGACTGGAACGAGAACGTCAGTTTCGGCGGGAAAAAGGATACTTAAGATGCAGTCGATCGGTAGGTCGACGACGACGCCACTGAATGTAAAACACAAATGTAAAACTGTCATGTTCGTTCGCAACAAAGTTTTTCGCAATGGTGTCTTTTAAAACAAAGCAAGATCTTACTTTTCAAGCCTTACGTCTAATTTCATTGATGATGAATAACTTTTTGCGTTGTCTGACCTTTTCGAGTGGAAAAACACCTGCTTTCCGTACGAAGATTATTCGACTACTTTCAACTTGAGTGAGATGACCGAGTCCGAGCGTCTGTCAGAGTAATAGATTTGGAAAAAGAGACATTCTGATGTGATAGCCGTTTTCCATGTAAAGTTTATTTCCTCTATATTAAAGATATATGATTTGCCTTACCGAGTAAATACGTACAAATAAATTTATCACTTACGAGTTCGCTCGCTCGGCCTCCACAGCTGTTGTCATTCTTCGAAGTAATAACATTTCATTAGTCGAATTTTCAATCAACATCGCTTGTTAGGAGGAAAAAGGAACGATACTGGGATTTACGAGGATAAGAAAATGGAAAGGACTTCAAAAATCGCTTAAAACAGTGGATTTACACCTGCCGAAGCTCTTGTGGATTGCAGGACGACGTGGTTCTACTTTGTTTGGCGTCGTCGACGACACCACGACGACGAAATCTACTGGTCGCGCTTGCGCAGGACACTGTAACTCACTTCCGGTCGTCGTCGTGGTTCTTAAGTTCCCTAATAACATACAGTGAAACCCGATTAATTTGGGCACCAAGGGCACATGCCAGGGTGTCCGTATCATCCAAGAGTCAATTTAATAAAACTTTTACACGTCTAATTTACAAGTGTAGCTATTGTTCTCAGACTCTAAAACAATCCCTACACTTGTAAATTACACGTGTAAAAGTTTTATTAAATTGACCCCGGTTGTCTGTTTTAAGAGGGCTCTCAGAAAAAGACCTTACGGATACATGATTTGTCGATAAACAAAAAGACTAATGCAGACATCATTTTTTACTAGAAAACGTTTTCTAATTTCATTCTTAACTGAAACTGTAAAAATTTCCTCCTGAAGAAACCTCATAATCATTTAGCATAGTCTCAGGCTAAACTTAAACCTTTTAAATATTATACTTTAAGCCCGACACTGGTGGTAAGATATTCAGTCATAGCCAGCTCGCAGAATAACAATGTCCGTGAAGTGGGTCGACGATATATGACAGTTTGTGACTCGGGACACCGGTGTCCGAATTAAGCAGGTTAATTTTTAAGTTTTTCCACTGTTCATACTTACTTTTTTCGTGGTTTCGTTTCTTGATTTTAAAAAAGCATTTTAAGTGCGATTTAAACACTATACTAGAATTAAGTGGGTTCAAAAAACCCACTTACTTCTAGTGTTTAGACGGATAAAAACTATTCTTGAGTCTAAATGTTTTGGAATTTCTGTTCATAAAAGTACTGCAGCTTATACTTGAGCGCCACTGATTAAACATTTTTCGTTTATTTTTGCAGCAATATTTAGTCTAAAATCTCCATAATTTTTTCTTGGTTGCAGATATGGTGACCGCGCACCTAAGTCTTTCTTAGCGCGTATTTTTTGTATCTTATGGATCCTGGTTGGAATCATCATTATTGCTATATTTACGGCAATCGTAACAGCCTCGTTATCAGCCAGTATTCAGCACCACTTCACTGTGCATGGCTCTGTGGTAGGTTCTGATATTAGGCTGAGAAAACAGCCGACATTTCGAAACGCCACCAGAACGGTTTCCACGGGCTATGACGTCTGAGGAACGAGCGCAGAAAATTTCATACTGAAGTTGCGTCACTACCCAGATTTGGTTTTGGTTAGTGCTTCTGATTGGTTGAATGGAATTTCTGCCCTCTTTCCTCAGATTCCTTTCATTCGTAAGCCGCTGGTGGAGTATTTCCAAAGCCATGAATTCCAGATTCTACAAGCGAAAATTTCCCGGATTTTAAAATCGAAAATACTTAATATTTACTTGGCATGCAAGTTCAAAGTTTCAATTGAGTGAAAAATATCCCGCTCTCGAAATATGTTCGATTTTAATATATTTCTTGCCCTATTATTCCCCTTCTGTTTTATTCAGAGCAAAGCTTATTGATGTTTTCATTCAATTTCAGATCGGTGCAGTAAGTGCCAGCGAGGAGTTTCGATTCGGAGTCAGTTTGAACGCGGATTTGAAACGTAAGTTTGAAATTTGTGTGTTTGATTTTGAAGCTTCTACTTGAAACGTTTATTTCTGGGAAAGTGATTAAAAAGGCGCAAACGGGAGAAGTAAGGATAAGCAGTCGCAAGGCAAATGAAAACAAAACACCGCTAACACTCTCGGATACGAAAATGAAGAGCCATAACCGATTACCTGGTGTCCCTGTGAAGGTCCTTCTGGAAAATTCGGGTTAAAGTATGCTGCGCATGCTCCCTCATGCCTTTACCATATATCAGGAAAAAAAAAATGATAAAAGCAACAGCATACCCAGAACGTAGCTATAGAGCGTCATCTCATGACGTCACGGCGGCCATATTGGTATTCTGATGCAATGACACGGCGGCGGTCATGATGGTGTTCCAAACAAATCCTGTGGGAGTTGAACTCTTTTCTTATGTAAACAATTTCTTTTGTTCGCACAAATTTGCATAGATGCTGGCCACGTGAGTGAAAACGCTCTCTACCTTATTTCACTCTCAAAAATCTATACCCAATCCCACACCAAAGGGGTTACAAACCACACTCTTTGGCGCCGGCCGCACATACTTGTATAACTTATACAGTGCATACATGGGAATTTCCCGAACTAGGGGTCCTGGCAAGAATGCGAGGCACTGCTCGTCAGTTGCTGAAGGGGATTGCACGGGTAATCAGAATTAGACTCATTTGAAAGCTGCTATAATTCCTGTTTAAACCTACTCAATTTTATTTCTTTGTAGCATACCTTTCCATACCAAAGATGAATGAGGATCTAATGACTGACAAATTGAAAGGCTCTTTGATTGACAACTACGTTTTGACGTACTACAGTGACTTTGTAAAAGAAAACGATGTTAGAATAGAGACCACATTTGAGCACGCTATAACCTATGGCCTCTCTATTCGCTCTAATGCCTCATCGAACATGTTGGCTTGCTTCAAACGCTATGTGCGTAATCATCCCCAGGAAGCCTTCGAAATTATTGCTCAGAATCTGGAGCCCCTCAAGGTGAGATGTCTTATTCTCTGTTTGTTATTTCAAAGCCGCAAGTGAGTCTGGGTCGAGGCTGACGGTTGACGGTTTAGCCCGTTGTGACCCTCAGTTTCTGGATTATTTGAAAAGTAAAAACGCCACCTAATCTAAGTAGATGAAATGCAAATATGACGAGCTTTTCAATACGCGTACGGTGTTTCAGTCAGATTTTAGATTATTAAACAAGAAAGATATGTATCCGTTTCGGGAAGATGGGATATGCTTTGGGTTGTTCAATTATGATGTCAGAGATAATCGTTTATTTCAATTTGCCGTAAAACTCCGAAAATAAGCCCCTCCATGTATATGCCCCTCCAAATATAAGCACCCCAAACCGGTAACGCAAAAAAGCCCTCCGTTCAATTGCCCCTCCAAATATAAGCCCCTCGGGGGCTTGTACTTTGAAAATTGCCCTCAAATACAAAGTAAAACAAAGCAAAAATGGTAAATTTACTTCCAACTATAAGGCTAGCCCAATCAATTTTGAAACGTAAATTTCCCTCAGTAGATTAGCCCCTCAAAAAGGGCCCTTGAAAAATATAAGCCCCGGGGCCTTTTTCGGAATTTTGCGGTATGTATTTATTTATTTAATTTTTTTTGCGAATTTTACACGGTTAGAACCCTACAGATGAAGTGAGTCAGGAGGTGAAAGCGTCTGAAGGATTGTTCTTTTACAGAGAAAGAGAATTCAAAAAAGTTCTGTTCATTCTGTTGGGCGTGCTAGGATTTCTTCTGTTTGTCGGAGGAGCCTGGGAATTGTGTTACAATCGTCCAAGGAGACGTAAGCAATTGAATTGAATTAATTTACTCTAATCAGCGTGCGCAGCCGTATAACGCTTTGAAAAATACCATAATATTCTCGCATAAGTAGAATTAGGTGAAGCGGATTCTTTCCAGTCTTCTTTGTTGAAATAGCTCACTGGAATTCAGAGTAGGGAGATAGTAGCTTCTTTTGAGCTGAGGAATCTTTAAAAGTCAAGATCCTGTAACTTAAAAGCCTATATTAAAGCCGTATTCTCAAACACGTCGAACGAATGGTTCTGAACAGAATAAACACAGTATCTGTCAATCCTTGCCTTAATGATTAAATGCAAACAACGAGAGCACAGCTGCGCTAGGATGCAAATTTTACTGGCTATGCACAACACTTGCAGTTTGAACAGACAAGTTTACATGATGCACCACCAAACGTAACCCTGTACGAGAGGCTTATTTAGAGATCTTCATTTCCATGACTGTATAAAGAGGAATGATTAGATAAAAACTTCCTTCATCGCTTTAATTTTTGTTAGTTAATGAAGAAACATCACCCTTTGAACCTACTGGCAACAAGAAGTTGCCATGAAAAGCAACCGTCGTACCAACAAAATTCTGGATTAAGTTAGAGAAATTTCTCACTTGGAGTTTTTGTGAAACCAGCCTCAGTTCGTGATATGTATTTAAATTGTCAGTTTTCTTTTGCTTTGACTCCCAGATGAGTGCATCGTCAAATATTTCTGGAAGGTGAACTGGTTCCAAAATGGTGACGAAACATAACTTCATAGAGCATTCAAAGTTTGCTTTCTGAATGTTTCCTTTTTTGTAGGACAAAGGAAGGAAAAAGAAAATGATGGCGCGTTAATCTCACTGACGCCAGCACAAAACAAATGCGACTGCCATGAAATGCTACTGAGCCATCAAACAATCCAAAGTATCAAATACAAATCCTCAAAAATCAAAGAACTCATCCGCGAGTACGAAGAATTCTACGACGGATGGCTACAACGAGTCCGCGCAGTGGAACATAATGAAAATGGTATCACACCCCAAATGGTGTGAACAACCCAACCACACGTGACAAACATTACAATAAGTAACTTTGGGCCAACTTGTTTTGGAGGATTGTAGCTTCAATCAAGAATGACCTGCTCTCGTTTCTTGGGCCACATTGTTTAAAGCTAAAGTAAGCTGGGAGCCATGCTTTTTTATGGCGGAAGGATGTGAGAGCTGGTTATTTTATCACTGGTGTTTTGATTCTTTTCACACTTTTCACAACACTTTCAGATCGCTGCTTACTCATCTACTATCACGGTATTCCCAAGACAACTTTGATTTTTCTTTCTTTCAAACCAAAAAATAACCTTACTGTGTTTTAGTTTTTATTTGACTAAATTATATTTTTTTTTCCACGCAGCACTTGTTTGCTTAATCTTGAGTCTTGAACAGAATCTTCACATGCTTTGATTCAATTGACCAGGCCAGCTTCTATCCTTCTACCTTCACTTTTTGTTTGAGGGAGCAAAGAGTGTGATTTCCTTTTGCTTCTTCGCGCTTCCAACCCATATTCTCCCTTAGGCCCGGTTCACACGCAGAAGTTTTCAAGAGCCGAACCTAATTCGAATGAAGGCCGACCCAAATTACTTAGAACGGCTGAATTGATTCAGACAACGATCTTAATTGCAACTGAACTAAGTTCAAAAGGCGAAAAATGCTCACCTCGGTCAAACTGCCGACAAAATACGTTCTAATAATTTATGCGTTATGTTCGGTACGTGAATGTTCGGCGTCTGAATCAAAGCCGTTCCAAAGTCGCTCCAAAGGCGAAATTCCTGGCCGGGCTAGGCGAAAAGAACGGCTGAGCCGTTCCAAAGAAATTGAAACAGGCATTCCTAATTGACTCAGACGCCGAACTTTTCACATACTTTATTCAATGTATTAGGTTCGGCTGATGAAAAGTTCGGCGCCTTAACCAGGCCTTGGACTATCGAGGGCGTAAGTAGCTTAAAGCAATATTATGGTGTCCATGGACTCGATTTCGGTTTGGGATGACAAAGTTAGTTGTTTGCAGAGTATTTTTCTGAGTCATAACTACTGTAAATAGATGTGCAAGAGATAACTTGTCAGGACGATTTTTCGCCTTACTAGTATAAGAAAATGCACCAAACAATATTCATCGCACTGTGGGCCTCTGACTCGAAAGAGTGAGGGCAGCAATGACACGATCATTCGAAAGATTGAAACATTTTAAATCATAAAGCTTCGCAAAGCACTATTTCGTTTAAAGCACTTCACAAACAGAAATTTTGGAATTTTTGTTTTATATTTTGATACTTAAATTGGCTCCCTTTGGAGGTAAAACTAAGATAATTTTCAAGTTAAATTTAGTTTTAGTCACGATTAATATATGATGGCAACGAAGAACTTCCCCTTTTTCCAAATTGCCACTTAATCCTTGCAACCAATCTCACTTTGTTGTCAGCATTTGTTTGATCGCAAGTTATACTCGTTTGTTTTTATTCATTGTAAAAAGAAAATAATTTAATTTCATACACAATATATACACATCTGATTTCCACAGACGAAAGGGACGGACCGTGCTATAATAACAGAGCCCACGATTTTCTTTACCAGCTCCTTAATTCCTCATATATAACGTTCCTATCCTGACCAAAAGGAGCGTTAGCAACTAATTGCACAATTGAAAGGGATTTACACAAAAAGAACCGTGCTCAGTAGTAGATTGTAATAACTAAAGAAGTATAAGGACTAAATTGCAATGAATATTAAACTTGCATTAAAATGACAAAAGTTGCAATCAACTACAAAACCCAACGACTTCTTTTGGTTTTGGTTGAACCGTACATTACTCTGAAAGTTTAAAGCTTTCCTGCATCTGAAAAGTTTGTTAACTCCCATAGTTTTCCCCATGAAAGGAACCGGGATTCTGGAATTCGGGAAATTTTGCCTGTGGAATCCTGAATCATGGGCTTTTGAATACGGAATACAGCTTAAGGAATCCGGAATCCCACTTAAGAATGGAATCCAGGATACAGGTGCCACTGACAAAGACGGGAATCCAGAATTCACGGACTGTGCCATAATGATGGCCCTTTATGAATGTAGCTCGTCTTTATAAATGTGATATTTTTGTGCAATTTGATCACACCTAAATATAATTAAAAGGCGCCCAGATACTTAATATGATGTGGGACTTTCTTGTTATTTGCATGTTCTGGAAAGCTGTTTTACAACCTTTAAGTATGATTTTTTTCCTCTGTTTTCTTAACGAAACAAACAAATTTAAGAACGTAAAACTACTTTAACGAACTTCAAATCGACATAACAAACAAATAACATCAACGCTCAAAATTGATTTAGAATCAGTATTAAAGCTATTGATACAAATCACCGTTTACCAACACATGAAGAGATGATAGAAAGTCTGAGAAAGACGGAGAAGCGGAGAAGGCGAGGCCAGGGGCGTTTGGCTTAGCCACCTATCGATAAAGGACTGCCCTGTGTAATGGAAAGCCTGAGGTAGACAGAGGAGCATGGAGGGGGAGGGAGCGTTTGGCTTGGCCACCTATTGATAAAGAAGTGATCTGTACCCTGACCTGTGGAATGTGACCTGTTGAAAAATTTCTCAAGCTGGACAAAATTCCTGGTCACTAGAAACAGCATAATATGCGTAAAATGCACCGTAATTTCTCCTAAACACAAGGCTCCAGTGCTTATGTCAAGCTAAGTTTACTGGGTCTAGCAGTTGATTGAGCCTGTGCCTTTCATTGATCTGAGCTGCCGTACATCTTTCTAATAAGCTACGTGCAAACGGACGTAACAACTCCCAAAATTGTTGGGCTAACAATGTTGGGAGTTATTGCGTCGGTGTTGGCAGTGGTGTGTAAACGGATGCAACAACGCAGTTAATGAACAGTTTATGATACAGACGCTATATAAATAAAGTTTATTATTATTATTATTATTAACAACTCCCGGCAATGTTGGTTCCTTCAGTGCATCATGGGAAGGATACAACCCATAAGACTCTGGAGACCATGTGTAATGCGCGTGCGTGGCCCCAACAATGTTGGAAGAGCTGTGCAAACGGATCCAACATTGTTGCGCTACGCTTCAGCGATCACGGAACAAACGAAAGGTTGGGAGTTGTTGGCTCAGAAGTTTGATCGGTTTCAAACTTTGCGCAACAACTCCCAACAACACGCAACAACATGCAACAGGGTGTGAGACGGACGCAAACATGTAACATCCAAAAATGTTGGGAATTGATGAACAACAATGTTGCATCCGTTTGCACGGGGCTTTGCACCTTAGACTTCTTCTACAACCAAAAAAAATGCTTAGAAAAGTGACTGTGTTGGTAGGACTGTGGTGCACATGCTCAGCGGTATTACGCGCCAAGCGTGTGTGTGTGAAGACGAATATGCCGGAGATCGTTGTGTTTACCGTTCCGTCTACGTGTTTGTATACAGTGGTACCTCGATATCACGAGCCTCTCGTTAAATCGAGGTTCCACTGTATTACACCTAAGAAATGGCCTTTCCGGCTGGTTAACAACAGTGACTGTATTCTTCAACTCTCCTTTTCAGACCCACCATTTGCCCTGAGAAACGACGATCATCGAGCCTCTTCTTTATTCACTAGGCACTCAAAGAACAAACAAAGACTAACAATAAAATAATTTAATAGACTTTCTATTATAGAGAAGCACAGCCGCTGGAGGTCCGTTTTGCATTTTCAGTCATTAGGAAAAAAAGGATGAAGTAAAAGTGTATTTACGAACCAAATATGGTCCTAAATTTTTTTCAAACTGAAACTTACGGGAAGTTTACGTCTATTATTTTTGTTTTCGTTTCGCTGGTTCCTTACCGGTTAATTGAAATAGAACGCAGGAGAAACTCAAGTTTGCTTGGAATAACTGTAGTTGAGCCGGCGGAGAAGTTAACAATTGGAATAAACACTCAAGGTCAGATATTCAACGACGGCTTATTTAGTCCGCGGTTTACCAAGAAGCAATGCACTTCCAGATATGTTAAAATAGAGATCATTTAAAGATGTTTCTTAGCCGAAATATTTCAGTTACGGTTGGCCGAAGAGGAAATTGTGTTGAAGTGATTTTTTTAAATAACCATCTAACTCTGTTTTACTTATTAACTTCTCCTCCCCCCCCCCCCCCCCCCCCCCCCCCCCCCCCCCCCCCCCCCCCCCGCCCCCCCCCTCCTTCTTTCCTCTCTTTTTCTCTATTTTTTCCTTTTTTCATCACTTACCCCCCTTACACCCTTACTTCCTTTTCTTCTTACATTTTCTTACCCATACAACCTCTACCTACACCGCTCCTCCTTCTTTCCCCCCCCCCCCCCCCCCCCGCCCCCGGAGGACGGAAATTTTTCACTACACTGCAAGATATCTTTTCTTACTCAGTTATACATCTAGGCTTCGTATTCAAAAGTCCACCTCAGTATTCACTTGACTACTTATATCAGATTCAATTATCTCCAAAGGAACATCATACTGCTGGTCCATTCCCATGTAAGCGTCGTTGATGAGGTACACCGTGTAGATCTTTCTACCTAGGTCCTCAGGCATGTAGCACGACAAGGGCACGGTACTTGTCGCGCGCACTTGTCCCACTCTCTTCACGGCCAAAAGCTCACCTGTGTCCATCTCGCCAAGGACCACCCACCAGCCCACATCTTTCGCTTTAGGGAAATATGGCGCATGTGCTTTTGTGTTAGAGCGCTGAAGAGAAAGAGTAGCTGTTAGGGTTAGGGTTAATATTTGACAAATTAAATGAAACTAAATAAGATCGATGAAGTTTGAAGCAGTGCGAATCTACTTTTAGTGACATTTTGATTTGCTGTCATTCAGGAATTTTGCTACCGTGGCAAAGTGACGTAAAGACTTCTCCTCTCTATTTATCAATTATCATCAAATTATAAACTAGGGGTTACAAGTTACGATCAAATGCTGGGTGCTAAAATATCGATGAAACGATGAGCTGACATACACATTTTACTAATCACAGACGCTTTTATAGAAAA